AAGAATACAATAATAATAATAATAATAATAATAATAATAATAATAATAATAATAACAATAATAACAATAATAACAACAACAACAATAATAATAATAATAATAATAATAATAATAATAATAATAATAATAATAATAATAATAACAAGATTAACAACTAACAATAACAAATTAAAATAAAGTTGAGTTAGATCTTACAATGACGCTTCAATGCTTTCCCAAATTTATAATTTCCCGAACTTATAATTTCCCGAATTTATAATTTCCCGAATGTAAAAATAACAATTTTTTTTTGGTAGTAGACTAATAAAGGTAATAATAGTAAAAATGTAAAATTTATAAGAGAGTAGGAATTTTTTTTTTCACAAAAGAGAGCAAGATTGTAGGATTTGTAGGAATTTGAGAATTGAGAATTTGGGAGTAAGAAAATTAGAGAATAAGAGAAAAGAGATGAGTTGATGAATTGTGAAAATTTTGGAGGAAAATATGAGGTATTTATAGGGAATTTGGGTGGGAAATGGGGTGGAAAACTAGCCGTTTATAGCTGTTGGAAAACGGCCATAAACGGCTAGTTTTCCAACGTATGGCACGGGTCGTGCCGTGCCGGGCCGTGCCTTGCGGGCTCGTGCCGTGCCGTGTCGTGCCCGGCCGTGCCACGTGTCGTGCCAGCGTGCCGGCCCACGTGCCGGCCACCGTGCCGCCCGGCGTGCCACGTGCCGTGCCCGTGCCAAATCCCACAATTTTGTTCACGGCACGGCCCACGGCCCACAAGTGTGCCGCCGTGCCGTGCCGTGCCGGAGTCGTGCCGGGCCCGTGCCGCCCGCCCCACGGCCCGTGCCCATGTTTAAGTGGGGTTACTTGGGGGGTTACTTAAGGGGTTACCCTGGGGGTTACTAGAAGGGTTTCTTAAGTGAGGTTACTTGGGGGGTTACTTAAGGGGTTACTTTAAGGGTTACTTTTGGGGTTACTAATAAGGCATCTCTGCCGCACCGTGCGGCCAGCCGCACCAGAAACGCGCTGTCCGTAGTATGATTTATATATTCGCTACAAAATTTGACTAGATTTTTCACTAATGTACAGTAAAAAAAATTAAAAAGGAAAAAAAATCAATAAGCATCTATTTTAAGCATTATACTACCTCTGTTACATATTATTTGCAACGATTTGACATAAAGTAGAGAGGAAAAATGTCTAATCGTTGCACGTAATATGTAACGGAGGTAGTATATGTTTTTGGATTAATCTCGATATATATTTTCATAACTATTACCAACAATAATCAAGAATATTAATAGTCAAAACTATATATATCTTGGTGAAGCTAATCCTTTCCTAAATATATCCTTTAATTTTATAAAACTATAGGTCTTTTTGTTGTAAAGATCCTTTAATTTTATAAAAAAAATGTGGCACAAAAGGTCATTTTATCGCACTTAGGTTGTGGTGAGGGTCTTTTGACCGAATTTCGACAATTCCGGATCTTATTAAATTGTATGGCGAGGGCTAAAAATAGTAAGAAGTTTGGAACTCTTAGCTTAAAGTCCCATAAGAATACTACAAGAGTAGAAGGTCGATTCTAAGTCCTCGAATTCCATAAGAATACTAGAAGAATAGAAGGACTTAGGGCCTATTCTCTTACGTTGAAATTCAGTTCAATTCAGTTCAACTCCTAATTTTCTTCTCTTATAAAATATTCATTTCTGTTCAATTCAGTTTAGTTCAGTTTAGTTCAGTTCAGTTCAGCTCAGCTCAGTTTAGTTCAGTTCAGTTCAGCTGAGTTCAGTCAATGAGAACAAACCCTTAATTACTTTCTTATTCAACCTTTCTTTGAAGGGTTTAACATTCAAATTGTAGAACTTTATCTTTGAAAAGTAAATATAGATTCCATTTAAATCCCATGGCAAGTTATTTTAAATTTATTATTTATCATAATAAGATTTACTTGAACTAACACAAAAGCTTATAAATTTTACTTTATAAACTTTTCAATAATGTGTAAGTAATTGTAATTCATCAATGTAATTCATTCCATATCATTAAATGAAAAATTTGTCAAAAATAAAAAAGCCTTTACTCGTTCTTCCTAAAATAAGCAAACCTTTTGATTAACCCAGCGTAAGTTAACCTTTATGTGGTATTTTCTTTAAATAAGTCAGATGACCTACAACCTACCAAATAGGTCACTTTTTTTTTTTTTGAAACCATCACTTTTTTTTTTCTAATCCTAATTAATTTATTTTCTTATTTTTATAATTGGTAATTAATTAAATTGTATTAAAAAAAAACCACAACATACCAGCGCTCCACTCCAATCCCCACCTCGAAACTCGATGGTGTGGACGGTATTGATGGTGGCCGGTAGAGCAAAAGCTGGGAGGGGGGCTGGCTGTAGTAGTGGGGGTATATAATAAATTAAGAGGGTTTTTTTTATCTTGAAAAAAGTTATTTGTTTTAAATTATTTTTTTTACAAATTTTTAAAAATTAATTAAAATAATAAATTTAATTAAAATTTTTAAAACTGACCAAACACACAATGACATGTGGCATAAGCAACCCAAACAACCTGTTACACTTAAAATAAACCGGTCATGACTAGAAAATACCCCATAAAGATCAACTTATTCTGAGTTAATCAAAAGGTTTGCTTATTTTGGGAAGACCGAGCAAAAATTTGCTTATTCTTGACAAATTTTCTTAATTAAATTACATACGTGCACCTAGAATAAACAAACTAACTTGCGCCTCATGAAGAATCAAATAGTAAAGTTTATGAACAAGATCTCACATAATAACGAACACTCGTCTGAAAATCCTTAATCATATAACTAAATGGGGAAAACTATAGCTTCTCGTAAATAGGCCCTGATTTGTAATTAATTTATTAGACATAGACAAGTATGTAGTAAGGGCATGTTCTAATTTACTGAAATGAGCTGAACTGAACTGACTGGCCTGGAGCTAAACTAAACTGAACTGGATTGAATAGAGCTTAAATGAACTGTTTATGAGAGAAGAAAATTAGGAATTGAACTGAGTTGAACTGGTTAGAGCCGAACTGAAATTAAGTTGAAGAGAACAAACCCTTAGTTGTTTCAACTTATAACTTAGCTAGGTACTACGAGTAGCTAGTTGCATTAGATGTTTTGACTAATTTTCTAAATCTTTATTACAAGAATTGCTCATATATACTATGTAAAGATTGGCCAAGCAACGTTTTCAAATCGACTTATTAACCGTCATTAGCCAATTTAAATCATATATTTTTAAAAATCCAAAAATAGTTGATTTTGTTGTCAAATCCTCTATATTAATTATTTCTAAAAAGCTATAATCTCATTAATCATCTCTTTGCTAAATAAGACCAAAGCTTATTTCAATTTGTCAATATGAGCATGTATAGTCTACATTCTAGAGGATAAGAACTACACTACAAAGGGTTCAAAACATAGACTATTACCTTGACCCACTAAGTTTAAATTGTGTATTTGAACATATAGCTCATGGAACTTTTTAGCTGGCCTGTTTTTCTAGACATATAGCTAGATGAAAGTCATACTCCCTCCATGCTCCATCTCATAATATAGTTCTTATTTGTAAAATTTCATGATAATTAATTAAGAAATGAAATAGTAAAGTACATGAAATACATGCAAAAAGGAGAAGAGTACAAGATATTTGAGTGCGGTACAAATAATAATTACATAAGGAAATCAATGAAAAAAGAACTACATGAAAGTAGGTGCATGAGGGCACAAATAATAAAGAAGAAATGTTGTGAAAGTATTTTGGGCAATGCAATAAATAATATAAAGACAGAAATAATAAGGGTATTTTAAATATTTCATAATGTCTAAAAGGAAAAATATAAAACACAGATAATATTTTGGTACATCTAAAAAGGAAAACATGAACTATATTATGAATAGTGTTTAGAGGATTCTATCCTCTAAAATGTTTATTTACTTACTTGTGTTTGTGAATGTTAATTGCATGCGTTTACAATTATACCTCTAAAAATATTTGTTTGTATTATATTTCTTATGGTTCATACCAATAACTAAATTTATGACATATATAAGACTAATCAAAAGAATTACCCGAATATAATTAGCTATCTGCATATGCGTACGTTAGCCATTTCTAATTAAGATAAGATTGAAAGTGATGAAACAATTTTTAATTGAATTGTTAGTTTGAGTACAATCTCAATTTAAGGACCTCAAACTTTCATATAACTCTCTTTATTTATATGTATTATTTAAAACACCTCGATCTTAAACAATTTTATCTATTATACGAACTGATTCAAAATCAATTAAGATATTATCGGATTTAATTTTAGTACGTTAACTTATTAATTTCAATTATTCCTTACACCCAAGTGAATACATTGGGTGAAGACAAATTATAAGTCCTATGAATGCATAAGAACCTTAATTAGAACCACAAATTGGGTTATATTACACTTGAACAAAATCTTCCATTCAATTTCATGAAATCAAAGTCTAGATCTCCTTCAAAAAGAAAAGAAAAATAAACCAATAAGCAAGAAAATTCCTATGTATGTATGAAGTCAATGGGAACATCTTCTTGTTGACTTTCAATTCAAATACTAGGAAATAAATAATATAATAATTAATTTGGATTATTTGCATGCATTCATATATAAATATGATGACTTAGTCACACCCTTCCTATACTCCTCCCTTTCAACACTTAATTACCGTGTAAATTAAAGTGTTCTTACTTTGAAAATTCCTTACATTTTTCTCTTTCTTTTTATAACCAATCACCTCATTCTTCATATCATCTTCTCCAATCAAATCAAAAACTAGTAGAAAAAGCTTACCAAATTTCTTACCATAAACTCTTAATTACATATACTAATTGACATTATTAAACCAACCACCAATAAAAAAGCAAATTAGTTAGAATTATAGTAAGTTATTAAAAGTATATAGCTTACTTTTATATTTTTCTACATATATTATGGAGGGGGGTAACAACAACAACAATAATAATAATGATTCTATGATAAGGTCATTAATACTCAAAGGTATTGAATTAGCCAAAAATATGGAATTAGATCTTTCTAATATATTGGCTAATGATCCATTAATTCTCTCACAAAAGTGTGATGAGATTATAGATGAGTTTAGTAAGGCAAAGCAACAGCTTATATGTTCTTTAACATTGGAACAACATCATCATCAACAACAGCCTCTTTATCAACCGGATATGGGGGTGGTTTTCGGGTACGTGCAACGTCAGTTGGCGAAAGGAAAAGGCAAGCAGGTTGCTGGAGACGTTGTAGGAGTCGCCATGAAAGCCGAAAGTGGTGGTGATGAACAAGGAGTGCAACATGGGTATGGAACGATGATGGAAGTTGGTGGGAGCTCGACGAGCTCGGTGTTGAAGAGCTCTACTCCTAGGAGGTCCTCATCAAGGTATGAATGAATAAATATGCCATTGTTATATGATTAAATGTGAACAAATTAACGCATTATTAATAAATAATCAGCTGGTTTTCATATTTAGTATATATTTTATAAAATTAAAACCTACTCCATCATTAACAAAGTGATTTGACAAAGTCACAAGGGGAGCTCTCTTAGCTATAATAATGTTTTTGAAAACCCTAATACATACACAATAACACAAGTATTTATAAGGTTGCAGCAAGAAATAAATTAATTTTATTTATTTTATAAAAGGAAAGGTAGATAATTTAGAAGTTATGACAGTTTTCTCTTAAGACTATACTCTAGTGCAGCAAGAAATAAATTACTTCATAATACAATAATAATGATGAAAATAGATACAAATAATTGCTATCATAAGTCTTGGTTGTTTGTGTACGTAGTGGTGATTGAGACTACACTTGGTAGGGAGAATCGCGTGTTCGATCCCCTGCAACAACAACCACCCAGAACTGATCCCCAAATCCGGATTAGCCCAAATGGTGAATCGTGTGAAACAAAAAAAAAATGCTACTTTGTAATTTAGGGCTAGTCTTCCATGTATATATATTAAGGTATTTATTCAAGTCTTTCTTTAAAATTTCTTCACTATTTAAAAAAAGAGTTAGTTTAAGTAGCTCTACAAAATGAATCAATTAAGATTTTTATAAGGTTAGATTGGCATGCTTATTATCTGATTTTAATTTATAGATATGATAATAAGTAGTATTGGAAATTTTATGGAAAATACATACATTTATCAGCAAAATTCCATAATTATAAACACCAATGTGTGAACGAGTACTTTCGTTTCAATTTCTCATGTTTTTCCTGGTAGGTTACATCAATTGTTTATGTTGTCTCTTACAAATCCACAAAAGGCTGGTGGGGAGGCCAGAAATTTCCAAAATTAAATAAAAACAATACAAAAAAAAAAAAGAATTTTCATAGGTTGAAAAAACCTACGGAGTATTACACATGTAATGCATGCACTACATCAACAATGTTATAAAGATGCATACTCTATGTGATTGACCAATTTATATGTCGAAAGTATACACATAAAGTCATCCTCATTAACGGCTTCTAAGTATTCACATCAATCTAGTTGCGAGTTTTTTCAGAAGATCAGAGTATGAACATACATAATTTTTTTGAAAGCCATAAGTTAAGAGATTAATCTTCTTAATTCATTTATGGTTGGGAATGAACCTCATCTTGACTAGCTAACCTTTATTAGATGTGAGATTGAGATAGAGTCATGAATATGGGACTGATCAAGATGTCTACCATGATAATTTCATGTTATTTAGGGCAAAAATCTTTAATAGTTGTTTATTTAATTTGTATGAATGAGTTACTTAAGATGGTGCATCTCATGCATTTTTCTTGTATTTGACTCACTTAATATAAAGAATCTTTCTTTGTTTTTCCCCAATTTGTGATTTACTTTGGTAATTTTTATCTAATTGTCTTCTTTAATTTGTTGGCTAAAATGTATGCAACTCAAAAAAGCTAAGCTTACTTACGTATAGTAATTAAGATTATATATATATATGCTTGTAGAAAGATTCACCTCTAGCTATTAGTCTGATGAAGATACGTTAGTTATTTTAAGTCAATATGTCTCACTTGATAAAAGATTATACATTATGGTAGATGCATGTACAACCTGTTAACTTTATCCACTTTTAGCATATTTGTAACACATTTTGTGCTAGCTATTAAAATTTTATCTAATGACCTATTGGTACGATCATATCGTTATAATTGTATCATGTAGAAAATTATGCATAGACCAATAGATCATAAGTATAAATTCATTTTTATTACTTGAATTCGTCATTATTTTAAACCATGTTATATACTTTGATCTTGTGAGTCATTTCACACTACATACCATAACACGATTATAGATTTTTAGACATTATTGACACTTAGCATAAAAACATGGAGAATTTCATAAAATTATCGAGCTAACTTTTGTACTTGAAAACAGAAATTATGATCAAGGAAGTAACCAAAGGGTGAGGATGGCAGCTCCAAGAATAGGGAATACAGAGATGCCACCAGAAGATGGTTTCACTTGGAGAAAATATGGTCAAAAAGAGATTATTAATGCTAAGTATCCTAGGTAATCACTTCTAACTATACAACATAATCACATTATTAGTCAATTTTATAATCTTTCTTGATTTTATTACTCATTTCTAGAATAAATTTGCAACTATCACATTTAAGTTGAATTAAAAGTTTATATCTATTTCTAGATAATAAGACTAATCAATCAACAATTTCACAATTGACACAGTCTTATTCTTGTTTTGTCACCTTTTTTTTAAACATGTCAATACATTGTCAACATCACTTTAAACGATGACATAATATCACAATATATATATATATATATATATATATATATATATATATATATATATATATATATATATATATATATATTTGATTGCTAATTTGGTATCAAACATTTTACCAAACTCATCAACATGACAACAATCAAATTGACTTGCATGGACGATTATATCTTGGAGATTCTTTGTTAGACTATTTCCTTGCTAGGCTTTGTATGGTTTTTCGTAACATCTTCGAGGGTGCGTGGTAAATATTTCGCGTTAAACTAATGAGATAATTAGGGTTAAAATAAATTCACCTTTATTGCGAGTCAGTGTTTATTAATTTATTATAGGAAATACATAATAACAAAAATTACATAGTTTATAATTTTCCTTATTCCTTTATTACATCCTTCAATTGTGCACGATTTTGAATAAATAGTTTGCTCTCATATAATGAGATAGAGTCATCATTAGATAAAATCAATTAAACTTTCTTGAAAGTTTATGTTCGTATGTATCCTTATTCCTTTTCGCATTAAAATAATGCATGTATAAGATTCAGTTCAAATAACATATATTTGTTTTAATTCTCGACAAAATTATGTTTGTATTTTCAAATGTAGAAGTTACTATAGATGTACACATAATATAATTTTCGTTCCTTGACAAATTTGTGCCTATTTTCCACGTGTAGGAGTTACTATAGATGTACACATCAAAAACTATACAATTGCAAAGCCAAGAAACAAGTGCAACGACTTGACGACGACCCCTACACCTTTGACATCCTCTACCGGGAGGAGCACACTTGCCACATGTCCAACACGGCCCCGTCGTCGGTCCCGCCACCACAATCGCCAACCGTCCATGACATTTTTCTTCCACACCACCAACCCATCACAACCGTTGCACCCCCATTTCATCATTGGCTACCAATGGACCTACCTAGACTTTCTAATGAAGGTGCATGTAACGTGTTCGATCCCCAACAACAACAACAAGAGCAATTATATCGTGCAAGTAGTGTAGACGGTGAACCCTCCACCGTTAGATCTCATCATGGAGGAGATCAAGCCGTTGATTTGCTTAATAATCAGTCAATGGTTGATTGTTGGAGTGAAATGTTTAATTCAGGGAGTAGTAGTAGTACTAGTATGGAAGTTATCTTTGCTCCTACTGATGATAAATGGGAAAACAAGGATAGAAAAGATTAATTAATTACATAAATCATGGTTTTGAATTTAATTGAGAAGAATTATCAACCTTTAATTTGATTTTAGTTAACAAATAGAATTAAATAGACTTTGTATTATTTTAATTCTTTTGGTGTTCATGGCATTAACCTAAAATGTACTCCCTCTGTCACTAAATTACATTATTGCTACTTCTCTCTATTATGTGAGGGATAAATGATAGATGTAGGAATGTAATTTAGGGACGGATGGAGTAATGTTTTATTTTGAGTACGTAGAGTTTTTTAATGTAATTTATTTATTTTTATTATCGAAAATCACATAGCTAAAGTTGTAACTATATATATATATATATATGCGCGCGCGCTTTGTTTCTTAATGGTTCTAATCCACGTTTTCTCCCAATAATTAGTTGCTAAGATGTCTCTTTAAGCACAAAATGTCATTGACTAATACGAAGTATTTATCTAGAATATGTTGCAAAGAGGGAAACCAATCAATAACAAGCTGTTCTTTTAAACAATTTCTTGATACACGATTATTGAGAAATATGAGAATGATATCTTATGTTGTAATTGTAATAAAATTTCTATGTTAACGTCCATCACAATTTCTCAATTTTTTTTTAAAAACCTAATCTCAATTCTTCAAGTAAATACAATGCCAGCCTTTCAAAAAAAAAAAATAAAAAAAAAATTGATTACCATACCACTTTGGATACAGACAATAATGCAAAAAATAACATACTAATAATAAATAAATAATAGAGTATAAATCATAATCTTGAACCCCAACCATTAACCGAAGCTTTTGGTTGAATTGTTCCCTAACAAAAAAAAGTTTTTTTTGGGTTGATATTCATTAAAGTCAATGCATGAACGGGACTACTATTTAAACTTTAAATCAAAAACCTTGTTTATTCATTGCCCCAGTGCAACTATCCCCTCAAGAAATTACTCTATAAAGCTTTTTTGGTGTTGAGAGAGTTATGGCCTGTTTTCATTGACTGAACTCAGCTGAACTGAACTGAACTGAACTGAACTGAACTGAATTGAGCTGAACTGAACTGAATTGAACTGAACTGAAATGAATATTTTATAAGAGAAGGAAATTAGGAGCTGAACTGAACTGAACTGAGCTGAATTGAACTGAACTGAACTGAACCTGAATTTCAACGTAAGAGAACAGACCCTTACAGTGGGCAATGGGTATGCAGGGTTTGATCCTACTGCATTTTTTTTTTCATTCTTTAAAACTTTAACTAACTTTTGAAAAATTATTGATAGCAATTTATGGAAGTTAGTTATGTCGCATCTAAAACACAAGTTAGCTAGGTCGCCAACCCGAGGCACAACATGATTAAGCACAAATCGGTTGCTGATATGGCAAGACATGTTACCGTAAAGGGGAAGGGGGGTGATGGCTCTTGCCTCACGAGTCACGGACTTCTAGCACAATGATATTTGGGTTCGAGTAATGCCTAAACCATTCTTTTGGAATTTCTAACACACACATTGTTACATACCATATTCAGTATGTTTGTTTGTAGGGATTATTGATGGGATAAGAATTTAAAATCTCTAATGTCCCATAATCCCTTGTTTGTTTGAGAGGATACAAGTTATCCCATATAAAAGGTATAGGGTTAAAATAGGGGTTTATCCCTCACTTTCTATAATCGCCTGGGAAGGGTATAATTTGTCATACACCTGGGTGTATCGTACACCCAACTAAATTAATGTTAGTTTTTGCTCTTTCATTTGATGATAAAATGAAAGATAATCATCAAAATGAGAACAAATATTCATTGGTGTATATAACAACATCTCGGAGTCTCGGGGAAGGAGTAGGTATGTAAGGTTTGGGGATAAAAATTGAAACGTAAAAGACAATTCTAACCTTAATGAAAGAGAAGGAAGAGGAGAGAGGAAAAAAGTTAGTAAGGATAGTTAAGTAATTTCACTACTTATCCCAATTTAATTTTCAATCATATTAAACAACAGATAACACAATTTTTATCCATATCTCACCTAATAATTCTCTATCGTTATCCTACCTTCTTATCCTCATTATTCCTATTCCAGTTACCAAACGCCCTGATATTGTCGCTTCATATGTGTTATCTATTCTCACCCAAAAACACATTAGCTAGACACGAGACACGACACGATACCATAGAGGCATAGAGCCATCTTCACCCAATGGTGTGTGTGAGACAAGTTGACAAGAATGTTACAATTCCCAATCATTATACTCTCCACTTTACTCTCTCCAATTGAGAGAAAGCAAGTAGAGAGCAAAATAGGAGGAAAAGAGCATCAATGCAATCCCATCCTATGCTAAGGCACTACACCACTAGAAGTGCAGCAATAGCCGCAGCAGCTGCACTTCTCCCCTTCAACTCTCTCAAACCCACCATTTCAATCACCCCCTTTTCTTCTTCTTCTTCCGCCATGAAACCCACCTTCACCACCAATCAACAACCCTCTTCCGTCGTCTCCAATCTCACCTTTTCTCTCTCCTCCGCAACCCCACCTAATTGCTTCTCTGCTGCCGATTCATTCAACTCGGAACTCGCTGCTTCTGATTCGATCGAACCCAGTTCATTGCTCGTTGTTGTCTCCTTTTACAAGTTCGCTGATTTCCCTGATCATGCCGATTTTCGCTACCCCATTAAACGTCTTTGTGAAGAATTGGTAATTCTAGTCTTAATTTGGTTAATTTTTGATTTTATTGGATGTAAAGATTTCAGCTTTTCATGTTTTCTGCAGATGTGACTTGAGTAATTTGTATTTTTCATTTATATTGTTATGATAAATTGGGGCGTAAGTGTATTGGACTGATTGTTTGTAGAATTTTAGGATTTGCGATGTATTGTTTGTATTACCAATATTACATTTAGGGTTATAGGGGATACATTTATATTTCAAAAGCTTCATTTCAATTCCTGAAATTGAAAGCTTGATATTTGATTCCCCCAATTATATGTTTGGGAAAGATTAAAATTTCAGTTCTTGAGTATTTTCCTCTGATTAATGAGTTGGGTATTTTCCTCTGATTAATGAGTTGGGTATATTTTAATCAATGAGAAAGATGCAAAATTGGCAGTGATGGTGGGATGACAAAAGCAGTGTAGAAAAAAGGGATCAATCGTGGATTATGAGAATTTTAAGGATTGAGTAGATTAGTGAATAAATCAATGAGAGAAAGTGATGAAGTTATGAGCATTTCGTAGAGAAAGTAAAAAAATATTCATGGTCATTGATGTCGTGGAGGGATGAAAGAGAGGAGAACTGGAGAAGTTGAGGGGTAGAGTTGTAAAGTGACCAATTGAGATAAAAGAATGGGAAAGCATGATGGTTTAAGGTTTGGAAATTCTTGGAGATGGGCCTTTCTATTGAGTGCATAGGATCGACCCGATTTCAAGTGATATAGATTCCCAAACAAGTCATTTGCCTCATATCTAAAGAAATGGCAATATCCAAACACACCATTAGGGTTTATTTAATTCATTGAAAGCGAATTTTGGTTGCCTTCGCCTCTTTGGTGGAGGTGATGAAAGAGAGAGGAGCAGTGGTGACTGGTGAGTGAGATGAGGGTTATGCAATTTCCCTAATCAACAAAATTTAGTACGTAGTGTTGCCGCAAAGTATTGGTTAACCATGAATTAAGCCGTTAAGGTATATTATCAATGAGCAATGGAGGGCTATGTACATATTATTCCATACTCTAGTCAGGTTACTCAGTAAAATGACGGCTCAATGTTCAATCAGAGGAGGGGACACAGTCACACAGTTCTACCATGTGAATGCTATTTTTGAATATTTAATATTGATACTTGATAGTTATAGTGATGTGTTAGCTTTTTAGATTAGGGACAAAGAGACTACAATGTTTTGTCATTTAAGGGCTTTTTTATTGGAATATGAAGACTTAAAGATGTATGCGGACTTCAAAACCCTACAGGGTAGAAAGGTTATTTTATTCTTTGTATATTGAACCCTTAATTGGAGTCGTTGGACTAAGTGACCAATATATTACATATATAGGAAGCAATGGCTAGCATAGTGATACATTTGGTTTTTTTTATGCTATGAGGTAGAACAAGATAATGGGTGGTAAATTGATCCAGAAAGTTTTGGTCTCATTTGAGGATTGACGAGATATTTTTTAGCAAATGCAATTCCCATAAATCTGGCCAGCATAAGTGAGTGTTGTTCTTGAATCGTGAAGAACAGTAGTTTTATTTATTTAGAACATTTGGTGTAAATGCATATTATTGAGAGAAGATACAAGAGAGAACATGGTGAAACTATAAGTTGTTTTTTTCCTTCTACTTTTAAAAAAGCTTTCTATGCAATCGAATAAGAACACTTTGAACATTTTGGTATGAACCATGGACCATGGTGGCATAGCAAATGCATGTAAAATTTGACAGTCTCTCCACTTGGGTGTAACAGTCCTAATTCATAGTTTGTTGGGGAGCCATAGTGGCATGTTTATCACACCCCAACCTTTTTCCAAAAGAAAATTCCATTCAGGAGGTCTCAGCTTCTCAGGTGATAATATCCTTATAAAATTCACTACTAAGTTTTATATTTGACGTTAGCTTTATATATGTAATTCTGCTTCTTTATAAGGCTTGCTTGTGCTAACCAATCTTGTCGTTGTTACTATTTCAGTTTCTGACATTCTTATTCTTGAAATAGCTGCCAAAAGACCTTAATTTTCATCCAAGAGTCTGCATTGCTCATATAAATCTTGTGGGCCAATCCAAGTTATATCATACTTAGTATTAGAATCTTGTGATTATCAAGTTGCTTTGTGTTGCATTATTGGTGGATGTCCAAGTGCCTTTTTCACTGCTTTATTTCATTTAATGTCCTAAGAACATAAATTCAGACTATTCATGCCCTTACCTGTCTGATATTGTTCAGCGTGTTTCAGGTGGTATCATTCTTGCACCAGAAGGAATAAATGGGAGCATATGTGGTACCCGTGAAGCTGTAGAACGTGTTCTTGAATTTATTCAATCTGATGAACGTTTGAAAGGCCTAAGGCAGATTGAGTCTCCTGTGACTCCGGAAGATGAAGCAATACACCATGGACATACAAGCAAATCTCCTGTTGGAGCTGGAGAAGACGCACCCTTCCGATGGGATCATGTTAGGGTCAAGCTAAAGAAAGAGGTAATCTTGTAAATACATATTCAGTGAATTGTTTCTTAAGTAGTTGTTAGTTGTTACTACTCCGGTATCACTTTGCTTTGTTTTTTACATCTGTGATCTATTTGCATGTATTAGCAGATAGTCTCCCTTGGAATGCCTAGTGTTCTTCCTACAGAGAAGGTCGGAACCTACATTAGCCCTAAAGAGTGGAATGAATTGATCAGCGACCCAAACACGGTAAGAAAGATATTTCAGTAATTTTTGTTTGTCAAGCATATGGATGATGTGCTTAGATTTTTCTCTTTACCATATAAGGGATTTTGAATATCACATATTTGTTAAAGGTCATAGAAACTCTAATTTTCGCCAAAGATCCTAAACTAGCTGCTTCAGTGTCGAAATCCAATGAAATTAAAACTAAATTCAGAAAGCAAACTTCATCTTCTTGATCTGCCTAAAACTTTGTGATTAGAATATATTGCAATCTTTTTGGTTCATCACATATGTTTTCCTTCTTTAGAGATCTTGAGATCAATTTTTTTCAGTAGTTAAGTTTTATATCCAGATTAAACTAATTAACCAACCCTGAGGGTTTGTGTCTTTTCGTCAGAAGGATTAATGGTATAAGCATCACTTCAAAATTTCCTTGTTCATGGAAATTAAATTTTAATCCATACTTAAATCAGCAGAAACGATGGACGATACAGTTAAATATATTACTGTCTGAGCCCTATTAGGGCTTGACACTTAGAGATTTTGGTTAGTGAAATGATAACATCGTTGGATTTCTTAATCGCCTCCTTAGACTCTGTCAAAGCTCTCTAGCTCTGTTTATAGCTAGATATTTTGAAGAAAGCATATGGACAACCTCTTTGTGGTAAAATAAAGCATATGGACAACCTTATTGTGGTTCAGATAGCGACTTAGTTTAGTTTTGCTTGATGTACAGTTACAGACATGCATTACGAACTCATCTTTTATTTAATCTTAGGTGGTCATCGATGTGCGCAACACCTATGAAACCAGAATTGGAAAATTTAAAGGAGCAGTTGATCCTTGTACAACAGCCTTCAGAGAATTTCCTACTTGGGTGGAAGATAATTTTCAACTGGCTGGTACAGACAGTCTTCCATCCCAGGAGGTGCCAGAAAACAAGATAAGTAAAAGCCAAGAGGATACTGAAGGTTGCAACTCTCCACCTCGTGTTGCCATGTACTGCACTGGTGGGATACGATGTGAAAAAGCTTCTAGCTATCTCTTAAGTAAAGGTTTCAAAGAGGTAAATACTTTTTTGCAAATTGCTCTCTTTTTCTGATTATATAAAAATTGTAGATCAAAATAAACAATGAACTTTTCCTTCTTGCTTAAGCTTTGCATGTCTTATTTTGTGTGTGTTAAAGATCTCGATCCTCTACTGTCTTATGAAACACATCCCTTTATCCTTTTGGAGTCATGTTTAGGAAATTGGTTTATAATACAATAAATATTTCTTACTGATTGAATTTTTATAAGTATTGTCACCCCAAATATAGAATTTCTTTGCAATTCTTAGTTTAGGATATCGTCAAGGGTAATATGAGAAATATAAAGTGTAATTTGCTTAATTTAGAAGGTTATGGTCTAGATTAGAAATGTGGCCTATTATATAGATAATGGGAATGCATTTAGATCATTGGAATTATGGTGAATTTTCTGATGAGCAAAACAGATGTCGCTTGGGTGTCATCAGTGGAGCTCTTTTCTTGTGCAATGCATTAATGAACCAAATGAGTATGGTAGAGTTTTCAAGATGCATGCGTTTACTCCCAGGAATAGACTAAAGGGGAAAAAAAAATCTTGGTTGCTTCACATAGGTGGTTTTGCAAAATTTTTGAACAAGCTATCACTTCATAGCTGTTAATGCCGATTTTATCAATGCCATTGTTGCTTCCTCAAGGTTTCTTTGACTTTGTCATTAAGACATTTGACAATTTGCCAGGTTTATCATTTGAGAGGGGGGATACTAAAGTATTTGGAGGAAGTTCCACAATCTGAGAGTCTATGGGAGGGAGAATGCTTTGTCTTTGACAAACGGGTCTCAGTGGATCATGGTTTGGCCCAGGGCACTTTCAAACTCTGTTATGGCTGCAAGCAACCTGTCAGTGATGCTGATATGGAGTCCCCTAAATACGAGTATGGTGTATCTTGTCCATACTGTTTCTCGACAAAATCAGAAGAAGAAAAAGAGAGAGCACGAGCTCGACAAAGGCAATTTGAGGTTTGGGGTGTCATCGGTGGTCCTGACAAGGGTCGTCGACCAACACAAAGTACAAACGAGCCACAAAGTGATAGTAGTCCTCATATGTCAAAATCAGTATAGTTTATCCGGAAATATGGAGTGAAGGAGACGTGTAGTTTCTAGTACCTCTTTGGTTTCTCATTCTTCCATCTTTCAATTTTGTAATACTAGTACTAAGCTTTTTTAGCCTACTTGGAATAGTAAGCAAATGTTTGTCTGCTTATTGAATTAGACAAGTAAGACTAAGTGTAACAATTAAGCTAAGAGCACAGATTTTCTCCAAAAGGAAGGGTGTTTGACGGTTATTCTTCATTTTGGGAGGCTATTAACATCTTGACTTAGTCAATTTGTATTGCATTTTGGACTTTGAATGTTATTTAACTTATTTTGCAAAGTACAAAGAAAAATACTTGTATTTTGTGTCAGCATTTTAGACCCAAATACTTGTAACAAATTTACCTCTAAAATTGACCAATAATATTTTGTTCATACATTCAATCAACAAGCAATAGTAGCAAAAATAATATGTATTCGCAGTTACATAAATAGATAATTTGAAACGAAAGTAGTAATATAATATGTTATCTCATTGACTAAGTTTTTTAAGGCACTCTTTCTTTTTCGTTTCTATAAATTCTTGCTTGCTTACTATCAAACACCTCAAAAAAACATTGATTAGGTCAGTGAGTGATCAAGTTTTGATCAAGTCGATTTGGTTTCGGGTAACTTACCTATGTCATTAATTCATAACATTGTCATAGGATTTTCTCTTTAAATCCAATTGCACCAATTTTCTAGTTAAATTGTGTCGGTTTAGTTGGATAATGTTTCACAAAATTAAGAGCAAAATCTTGTCAAAGATGATTTTAGTGTTTAGGGTTTTGGTAAAAAAATAAGCTTAATCTAGAAGCAACCAAAAAAGAACAAGCTATTTAGCAAGCTACATATTACATGTAACATAGTCTTGCAATGAGTGCACCCTAAGTTTAATATTTCCAGCTCATAATCTCCTCTTATAATCTCTTCTTAGCAAGTTTAATTTACGTACATTCTATTAGTTCTTTCTACAATACACTTCATCCATTTATCAATCATTTTCATGCAATGGATTATATAATATTATTGCTAACTTTTATATTAGAGTATGATTTAAGTATTACAATTTAATAAGAATATAACAACTAACCATGTTATTAATACTATATAGTTAAGTAGTTTTCCCATATGATTAGAAGATACTACCAAGTACATATAAGGGACAAAGCTGAAAGTTGATTGAGCTGCTTGTGATCACTTCAGTCTTCTTTGTATGTGTTTTGTGTTGTCGAAACTCGAAAATGGGTCATCACTGCTGCAGCAAACAAAAGGTTAAGAGAGGGTTATGGTCTCCGGAAGAAGATGATAGACTCACCACTCATATTATTAATCATGGTCATGGCTCTTGGAGCTCTGTCCCCAAATTAGCAGGTACGTATGTACGTCCGTATGCGTGGGTACGATTTTCCGTCCTTGGGTGTCTAGGTCGAGTCCTTATTTTGAGTCTTAACTCCTATTTTCTCATTAAGGGTATATAGGACATTTCACCTCTTACTAGTTTCCTGACTAGTTAGACAAATAGATTTTACTTGTTCGCTCCTACCTTCCTTTGAAGCTAGATGATTACTACAAACTCAATTAGTCTTATTTAAATAATGTTTGTCACACTTGCATCTTACTTCTAAAGTGATTTTACTTTCTTTTAATTTATTGATGATTTTAAAGGATAAATCTTGACTATATATTAATTTTACACAATATACATACGTTGTATAACTATTAAGTATCTCCACTGTCTGAAAATTATTGTCACGTTGTCATAAAAATTTAATCGCGCAATAACTCACCCCTATACCATTCAAAAAGTTTATTGTTATGTTAAATCCTTTACTTTCACCACTCAAAAATGATCATTGCAGGACTCCAAAGATGTGGAAAGAGCTGCAGATTAAGGTGGATAAACTACTTAAGGCCAGATCTAAAGAGGGGTTCATTCACAGAAGAAGAAGAAAGAACTATAATTGAAGTACATAGAATTCTTGGCAATAGATGGGCCCAAATTGCCAAACATCTTCCAGGAAGAACAGATAATGAGGTAAAGAATTTTTGGAATTCTTGCATAAAAAAAAAACTTCTTGCTCAAGGCTTTGATCCAAACACTCATAATCTCCTTCAAAAGAAGTCCAAATCTAAGACTAATCCTACTAAAACTTCTAATCATCATCGGTTTCCATCGAATTCGAGCTCGTTAATCTTCTCAGATGATCATGAAAGCCAAACTTGCTTCCCAAAAGTTGATAATGAGATAGAGTTACAAAATAACAGTATCAACTTTGAGTGCAACAACAACTCTGCTAGTTATACACAAATGCATAATATTGTACCAACTTCGGATTTTTCGAGCAATGAATTCTTAGCTATGAACAAATCTAATCCCATTTCTAATGATGTTAATCTATGTGGTTATACCTTGGATGAAAACTCGATTTGGAGCAATACAACAAGGTTGGAGAACTTTGAACAACCAATGCAAACAACCCAAGTGATTCCAACACAAGAGATAATTGGTGGTGCTAATGATTATGACTTGGATGCCTCGTTGTTCAACATGTTAAGTATTAACTATGGCTTTGAGGACTACCCTGCCTCGACTACGATTTTACCGGGTGCCGGAGTGTATGGTGGTGAAATGGGTTATGCCATGGATCAAGTTGCATGGTGTGAAGGAAACAACTTTCAATGTGGATCTTTTGCCTTGTAGATGAACTAGATCGATAGTTCATCAATTAAAAGCATAAGCTTATGGTTGAATATCTGTACACAAAACAAACCACGTATACACATGGACACATAATGTATGTATGGATTGGTTAATCGTGCACACATGTAAAAAGTTGATTTGACAATATGTGTTATAAACTATACAAAATTACAAATTTATCTATACTTAGTATTTAAAAACATAAACCCCATTTGCCACATTTATGTCTTCCATTCTTTGTACATTTTGTTATAATAATTTGCGACATGTCATTTTATTGGTTCATTATTTATGTCATTAGTTATTGACTTATTGTAAACTTTTTCATCTTCCCCATTTATGTACCAATAGCTCTAATAATTTTGTAACCTCCCCTTAAATTCAACATGTTGAATGTTTTAATCTTTTCCTCTTCCCCATCCATCTTTCAAATTCAATTAAGTTAAATGTGTTATTTGCCTCTCCTCCTTTTTCCTCCTTTCTCTTTCCAAAACCCTAGCCTCCATTGTTGAATTTTGAAGGGGCTTCCATCAATTTTAATCAGTGGAAAGCTCCAATCCTTGTTTCTTTATTGTTTTTTAGGTTTATAACAATGCTTCCTCCTTTTGGGAGGAACTTTTCTCCCTCAAAAGAAAGGGTTTTCGATTTCCTTCGAAAGACAAGGGTTTTTCGACCTCCTTCGAAAGACGAGGTTTATTCCTCTTTCGAGGGAGAAATTTCTTAGTTTTGAATCCATGGTAGCAGATCTAATGGATTGTCGTGAAATTATTTCGTTGGTGAAAAAGTTATCAAGTTTTCGAATACGAACAGATGAATTAGAAGGAAAACATCCTCACGGCTACAAAGGATCGTTAGATTGTCTCTCTAACAAGGCTGTAATTTTCAGCGATATAAGCGGGAGATGCTTCGCAATGCAAGATCTACTCGACGATCGTAGTTTTTATGAAAGAAAATCTTATTTGATTCAATATCTTATGTATTTGTTAACATTGAATCTCTATTGTAGATGTTGTATGACTTTTAGTTAATGAAATATTTTTGCTATTCAAAAAAAAAAAAGTTAAATGTGTTATTTAATTCATTGACCTTTTATCATCTACCCATATTTCCTCTACTAATATCTAATTAAGCATTTTATACATCATCTAAATTCCCCTAATAAAATTATTAGTTTAGGTCACACGAACCCTTTATATAATGTATGCTTGTATTAAACAACCCCTTTATTGGACAATCATTACAATTTGCAATTATAACTATTATAGGAAAAATTATACCCTTTAACATAAAGATAGAAATAGTATCTATCATTTATTTGATATTCTATGTAAAACCTTAAAACAAAAAGTAAACAAATTAAAAATTATCAAAATTTTCCATGAGAACTTCAAGTGGTATTAAATTTAAATTAATATTTTTTTTAACAAAATCAATTCATTAATACAAAGTCATCCGACATTTACAAATGAAATCAAAATTAACAAATACATACAATTGAATCAAATAAATAAGGAGTTTATTCATCAAAGCTACAATACATATCTTATAGTGGTTTGAAATTTAAATTAATGTGTAAAGAAAATATCTTCTATAATTCTTTTTTTTATTTTTTATTATTGACAGGTAGATACATTGTATTTCAACAGCACTATAGGAAGAAATGTAGTTCCTAACTTTTTTTAAAACATAGTATTTAGACAATATTATATACGTAGTACTCCATGTCTCCATACTTGCAATAATGTGACACGGAGTAAAATTTTCATAAAAACTACAATCTATGTGAAAATCTTTACATAAAGAAAGAAAATGAATGTTGAAGACAGTTTCATTAACGTTCAAAAATTATTAATTTATGTGTAATATTAAGGTAAATATATGTTCGTTGTCTTAATACACAAAGGAAAAAATATTGCTAGTATTTACAAATTATCTAACTAATATTGCATGATATTCCTATGGTACTCTCATTATTACCATAATAAAATTACAAATAGTATAAATATATGGGAAAAAATTACCACGAGCAAAAAAATTTGCAAGTTTGATTTAAAAAATATAAATTACACAAACTTATATGGGTCAATAGTTGAATACTACGATACATGTACAATATATGTACAATATATGCACAAAAATAGTATTTCGTATAATTTAGAATTAAAACATGTATTAATTTGGAATGAAATTTTGGATTTGTTAGAGTATGCTATAAAATTTAAAAATATGTATTAGTATAATTTTAACCTTACATTATGATTGAACATATGCAGTGGGACAAGTTGGAGTATGCTATAGAATCATTGCAGACAACTTACCTTCCGAGCAAGATGTCATTAACCTTTACAAATCCAACGAAATAGGAACCATGAGACTCTTTAATCCCAATTTAGCAGCTCTGCAAGCTAAGCCCTACAAAGCTAGCTCCAGCATAAAAACCATTCTCGGTGTCGCTAATGGAGACCTTCATGCTATAGATTCTGACCCAGAAACTGTTTCCCAATGGACGGTGCAAACCAACATAGTACCTTTTGCAACCGTGATTGAGTACATTGCAATCAGTAATGAAATCCATTCTGCATATCTGGGAAACCCAGAGTCTTACCATCAATGTAGGAAATTCTCAATGCACTCTCGTTGCAAACAATTTAGGTGGACAAATTTTGGTTTCGATTGCCATTTATACAAGCTTACTCGCAAATACTTACCAACCATCTGCTAGTGAATTTGGTGATGCATGATATATGACCTCGATAATCGACTTTCTAATTAGCGATGTCTCGCACTCTCGCCTATAGAGGTCAAACGATACCATTTAAAAGAATTGACTAATTTAACCAAAGCAACCTACAACAAAAAGGAGGAATTGTTCAGCATGAGGCATGATTCTGAAAGAAATATGATCGAAAAACACTACTAGAAAACAGGTCATTTTCGAAATATTTTTTTGACGGAACAAAAATGGTCATCGGAATTGTATTTGTAGGAAATACGACCTTTTTTGACGAAATTTCCGACAAATTTTGGGCGTTAGATGAGATTCTCTGGCTGGAATTTTCCGATGGACTTTTTTTGTCGAAAATTTCCGACCGAATTTTAGTCAGAAAATCCTAAAACAAAAAATTAAAAAAAATTAAAAAAAAAATTAAAACACTCCACCACCCATATCATACTACCACTAGGCCCACCACCACTAAAAAAAAAAAAAAAAAACCTAAAGGCATTGACCCACTACCACGACCCACTTCTAATTCTAACCCTAACTGAACCATTAACCCTAACCGACCCACCCACTACAACCTTGAACACCGACCCACCCACCTTACCCTAAAATCGACCCACCCACCTAACCTCAAAACTTGAGCTGATCAAAGTTGGCCCGACCCAAATATTTGGGCAAGTTTGGACTGTATTTTCTGGCTCGAAATTAGATAAGGCCCAGCTCGGTCCGATTTTTAAATTTTTTTGGCAAGCTTGGGAAAGCACTTAGTTCATTTTTTTTTGGCTCGGTCCGATTTTGGCCCGACCATTTTGGGCGGTTTGGGCATAGAATTTTTGGCCTGGAGCTAGGCCTGGCCCCAGCCGAGATATGGGCATATTCTCACATGCATCCTCATGCATGTAGAATAGGTGCAACACCAGCCCAAACTCAAATCAATCATCACAACTCTTTGTTTCTTTTTAAAAAATTTTGTTTCCTTCTTCCAAATTCTCTCTCTTATGATCAGTTTTCTTTCTTATAATAATTTTGATCCAAATTATCATCAAATTCTTCAATATAATTTTCTTTTCCTCTATTTTTCTCCTTTTCATTTACTTTCTTCCCTGTTTTTATTCTTCTTCTTCTTCTTATTATTATTATTATTATTATTATTATTATTATTATTATTATTATTATTATTATTATTATTATTATTCACTTTTATTTCACTTTTTTTATTGAATTTGTTTCTTACACCATGGAATTAGTTGTTATTCCCAAAGAGATCGTTAATGCAGATTAGTGTTTTGTTTTGTTGATTTGTAATTAGGTTTTTTTTATGTTAGTTTCATTTTTTTTTATCAATTTCGATATTATTATGTATGAATTTTGTGTAAATTTCATTCTTCGTGTTTTTTTTGTTCATAATTTTTATGTATGAATTTCGATTTATTATGTGATGATTTTGTGCTTTATTTCGATTGATTAGGTTTTATCTGATTTTTTTAAGGATTTTTTGTAAATTACCACCCCCAAAATGTACTCTATATTGAACTAACCACCCGTTTTTTTTTAAAATGAAAAAATACCACCCATTAATGTTAAAACTAATAGATTTCACCACCCATCTCCAATTCCAACCAGTTTTCTGACTTAGGGCCCACAAAATATAAAAATAAAATTACATTATAAAAAAAAAAAAAACAAAAACAAAACCAAACCCACCACTGCCACCTCCGGCACCCCCTCCCCTGTTTCCGTTTCCGGCAGCCCTTACCTTCCCCGTCCCCGTCCTCGTTCCAGCAATTTCCTCCACTTCTCAATTTATCCACCACCTTCACAACCACCACAGCCCACGACCTCTTCTATCCATTGTCACCACTGTCAACCCATATCTCTAGAGAAATCAACAACTCTTTGAATCTCCTCCTCTTCCTCTTTATCTCTCTTCTTCAACAATTACTAACCACTTGAACATTTCAGAAGTTTTGTACATGCTTCAAATCCATTGTTGGTTGAATTAATTTAACAATCTTATCAAACCAAAAAAATCAAAACCCTAAAAAACAGAAAATTATTTTTTTTTTAAAAAAAAATTTTAAGAGTACACTGCAACCTTGGAATGAGCAGAGTAAGCAGCGACGTGGGTAGGGTTTTTGTGAGGAAGCGGCGAAGTGGGTGGGGTTTCGTGTGGAAGCGGTGACGTGAGGGCTAGGTGGGATTTCGCAAGCAAGGGTTGGGGCTTGGTGAGGTTCGCCGGCTGGAATAGTGGTTGGTTGGGGTGATAGTGGTCCGGCAGGAATAGTGGCTGGTTGGGGTGATGGTGGTCCGGCAGGTGGTTGATGTGGGTGGGGTGGCAGGAGATGGGGGAGCTGCCAGGGGCTGGGGTTAAGGGAATTTTTTTGAATTTTTATTTTTTAAAATTTATTTTATTTAAATCTTTTTTTTTTATTTTTAAGCAATTATGCGGTGACATGTGTACCCAAAGTCGGAAAACTAGCCGGAATTGGAGAAGGGTGGTGAAATCTACTAATTTTGACTTTAATGGGTTGTATTTTTTAATTTCGAAAAAAACGGGTGGTTAGTTCAATACACGGTACATTTTGGGGTGGTTATTTACAAAAAAATCCTTTTTTTAATTCATATGAATTGCATTTTGTTAGGTTCAATTAATTTGATCTGTGTATGAATTTCGGTTAAAAATATGAACATGCATAAAAAATATGAATATGCATTAAAAATAGGGTATTTTGACTTTTACCACCTTCAAATAACCACTTAATTGAATTTACCACCTCCAAAAAAAAAGATTTACTTTACCACCACCAAAATTTCCAAAAATTCGATTTTACCACCAACTAACGGATTCCGTCCATGAATCCGTTAGTAGGGCCCACCTTTTTGACGGTTCTTCTTCATCTTCCCCGATTTCCATATCAACCCAGCCAGCAACGAAATTAACACACCATGGTTGGTCGGAATTTCGTGTGGGGGCAAGGGAGGGGTCGGAATTTGGTGTAACCTAGGGAGGTGATCGGAATTAGGTGGTGGTTAGGGTTTTAGGAGTGCGGAATTTGGTGGTGGCTAGGGTTTTAAGAGTTGTCGGAATTAGGGGGGCTATATGGGTGGTCGGAATTTGGTGGCTAGGGTTTTGAGGTCGGAAATTGGTGAAAGGGGGTCGAAATCCGGTGTGGGGGTTGTGGCTGGGTGCGGTGCGATGCGGTGTTAGCGGTTAGGTGGTGGGGTCGTTGGTCGTAGTGATTAGGTGGTGGCTAGGGTTTTGAGGTCGGAAATTGGTGGAAAGGGGGTCGAAATCGGTGTGGTGGTTGTGCGGTGCGGTGCGGTGCGGTGGTTGTGGTTGTGCGTTGCGGTGGTAGTTATTAGGTGGTGGGGTCGTTGGTCGTAACGGTTAGGTGGTGGGGGCTGGTAGCGGTTAGGTGGGGGGGGGGGGCTGGTCGTAGCGGTCAGGTGGTGGGGCAGGTCGTAGTCGGTCCGGTGGTGGGGTCTCGACGGTGGCAGCAACCACCGGTTGATGGATGGGGTTTTTTTAATTTTTTTTTTTTTTTTTAAATTTTTTTTCTAAAGCTTACCCAATAATATGGCGACACGTGTGCAAGGTAGGCCCCACTAACGGATTTATGGACGGAATCCATTAGTTGGAGGTGATTGGTGGTAAAACTGATGTTTAATTTTTTTATGAGGTGGTAAAGTAAATCTTTTTTTTTTGGAGGTGGTAAATTCAATTAAGTGGTTATTTGAAGGTGGTAAAAGTCAAAATACCCTTAAAAATATGAATACATGCATTTTAGAAAATGAACATACACATTCAAAATATGAACATTTGCATTGGTTCTTTTTTTGAGGCGTACGAACATAAGTATTTTAGAAGATGAACATATAAATAAAAAATACTTCTTCCATTTTCTTTTAGATGCAACACACCCTTTAGCGCGATAATTAAGAAAGGTGAGGTTTACATGATATAATAAACTTTAAAATAGGATGAGTGGTTGTTAGGAGTGTAATTTAGTGGGCCATATGCTTTAAATAAGGGAAATAGTATAGTTTTTCCCTAAACTAACTTTCCTTTTATAGTGTGTTGCAAGTATTGTGATAATTCCTTTTTAGGGAAGTGTTGCAAGTAAAAGAAAACGGAGGAAGTATGAACATATGGATTTCAGAAAGTGAACAAATACATTTTAGAAAGTTTACAAAAACATTATAGAAATTTACATAAGCATTCAAAATATGAACATAAGCATTTAAGAAAGTGAACGTGTGCATAAAAAATATGAACATATGCATGCATTTCAGAAAGTGGACATAATCAAGCAAAATATGAACAAATGCTTAGGTTCCCTAAAAGTGAACATAAGATTTTCAGAAAGTGAACATAGGCATAAAATATATGAACGCATGCATTTCAAAATAGATATATGAACATAGGCATGCTTCTCATAAAGTGAACAAAGACATAAAATATATGAACAGATGCATTTCAAAAAGAAAACATAACCAATCAAAATATGAACATATTAATTGTGTTCCATAGTAAATGCATTAAGAATATGAACAGAAAATTTCACTTATTAACAGAAAATTTCTAGGAACAGAGTTTCGAAAAATTCAGATTAAAATTTACATAAATTCGGACAAAAATCAGTGAAAATTTACCTTTTCTTGGGATAATCCTGTTAATTTTGCATCTCTTTTTGTATACTCCCTCCGGCCCTAATTGTTTGCTCCACTTGCCTTTTTTGGTTGTCCCTAAAAGATTGCCCCTTATTATTTTCGGCATCTTTTTCCACTTGCTCTCTCTCTCTCTATCTCTCTCCTCATTGATATTTGTGTCTACCCATGTGCACTATTTTTTGCCCAAAGCCTTAATAAAGTGATTTTTGTGGTTGGGGCAAATAATTAGGGACTGGGGGAGTACTCATTATTGATTTTTTAGTTTTTAGTGAAGTAAAATCATGTAAGGGAGAGAGAATGAAGTTTAGAGAGAGAAAATTAGAGAAATTAATTGCAGAAATTTTTGAAAAATTAATGAGAGAGAAGTAAGATGGTTTTTTTTTAAAAAAAAAATAATAAATTAAAATCCAAAATATGACGGTTGGGAAGTGGGTCGTGTTTTTGTTTGGGCAAGTTTTGCAACTGTTTCTTGATTAGGCTAGTGTTACACCTATCCTAGGTGCATAAGGATGCATGTAAGACCAATTGCGAGACATGGGCAAATTTTTTACACCTCGACCTAGCCCGGTCCATCCCGCTCATTGATCAGGTTTACTTGAAACCGACCTAGTTAGACATACCACGACCCACCCACCTTACCTTAAGACTGACCCAAATCCATCCACCACAACCCTAAAATAACAAACGGACCACCTAACCTTAAAACTGACCCAGACCACCTAACCCTAAAACCACCTAGATCTATCTATAAAACAAGTTGTGCATGATATAACATATAAGTTTCGTACTCATATCAGTCATAGGTATTTACCGGAGTATGATATTTTAATCTTTAACCCTTTCTATAAATATGAGCAATTCAGTTACTGTTTCTTAGGAACAGTACTCGGGTTACTATTGCTTAGGAACAGGGGATTTCCCTTTGTGCCCTTAATTTTTTTTTTTTTTTTTTTGTTTTTTTTGTTTTCCTAATTTTCCTCTGATCCTCTTATTTTGTCGTTTGAGAACACGAGGCTGCTTTCCCCCTTTTCCTTTGAAGCATACTCTCAGTTAGCCTCCTCTATTGAAGCGTTCCTCTGAGTTCTCCTTTGAAGTGGTTTCTGATATGTCTATCTATTTTTTCGTCGACACCGCTACTGAGGTAAAGATGTTTTCTGATCTTAGGGTTTATTGCTACTAAAGTACCAAAAATATCTATATTCCGCCTTGGTGGTGGTGGGTGGGGGGTGATATGATGGGAATAATGGGATCATGAGTTTCATGCCGCTATCTTACTCTAAAAACCTAATTGTTTATCAATATTCCCCAATTCTTTGCATCAAAATTTCAAAGAATCACAAAACCCCGTCAATAAAATCATCATTTTGTGGGTTATGGAAATCAGTGTAAAATTGATTATCTAATTAAATGGATGACCATCTGATATTTCCGGCAGATGCATGTGGAAGTCTGGCGAAAGAGCAGCAAGCAATAGGAGTTGCAATTCTGCTTCAAATTATGATGCTGGTTCTTGCTTATGTACTTGGTCATGTTTTGCGTCGCCATAAATTTTATTATCTTCCTCAAGCTAGCGCTTCTCTTTTGATTGGTATAATTCTCCCTCTTTTGATTTATTGAACTAAGTATTTTTTAATTAATGTTGATTTCATGTTCTGAAACCCTTTGATTTCCTGTTCTGAAACCCTTTGATTTTCCTTAAATTTTGTTACTTGGGTGTATATTCAATGCTGAACTTATTAATTTGATAGCCCAGTTGCTTGATCTGATCCAATTTGTTTTATTTAAGTTGATTTATTAAGTGGGGTTTGTTTAATTTTTGAGGTGCCCATTTTAAAAAAAAAAAAAAAAATTGGATTGAATTGTAGTTTAAAATTGAACAGATTTTTCTTGGCCTGAGAAAGTTGAATCTGGGTGTGTTGATTTTTCATGATTTATAGGGTTTGGGAAGTGTGAGAAGCTAATCTATTGACTGTATTGAGGATAAAGAAGCTGATTGTGTGATAAAGGTGAGCAATTTCTCAACTTTATACAATTTGGTTTATTTGAGATTATTTATTAATTGGGGTTTGTTTGATTTTTGTTTCTCTTTTTAATTTGCTTATATGCATATGGTGTTTGGTGCCAAAATTTATGTTGTCAAGTTAGATATTGTTGTTGTGAGTGACTATAGAGGGTAGCTGTTGTTTCACGCTGTTGCCGCTGTTGTTCTGGTGCTGCCCTGTTACTGCTGTTCTGTTCATCCAAAAATCATCGACCTGAAGTTGTTTTTAGCTCATAGTCTCTTCATAAATGTTTTAGATCTTGAAAAGTTATTCAATCAAGGCTCAAGAATTTCTCGATTTGGAGTTGTGTGCTAGGAGTTATGCCTTCTGGAATTTACTGCGGTCTGCTACCCTGGTTCTATAGCAGCAGGTTGTTATTGCTCATTTGATGCCTATGTGGTGTTGTTGTGTTGAGTTGGTTGGGGTGCTAAAATGAATGCTTGGGCTTCTCTTATTTATTTTGTCTCCCCTTCTTCCATTTATTTACACATTAGTTATAAAGTTAAAATGTGGCCAATTTTGATTAATGACTATTTGGATCATGACTAATTGATAATTTGCCAAAATGATGAGGATTAATGCATATGTAAAAAAATAGAGATTTGATTTCTCAGCATTCTAAAGTCAAGGCCTTATTTATTATTTTGATTAAGATCGTTAAGCTTGCCCAGTTTTAAAGACCTTTTCATATCTTTTATTTTTCTGGGGAAGGTGTTAGCTTTAAGAGGGTCGATTTACCCTATATGACCACTCTCTTTGATTTAATTCATTTGTTGTTTCTTCACTGAGCAAGGTGGTTTAGGTAATGAGTTCTTGGAGCTTCATTTTGCTCTTTCATGCTGATTGGTTTTTGTTATGGGACTTTTACTGGAAAAACGAGCTTCGTGTAAAGAACACTATGACAATTATGATCTTTACTTACATTGGTTGCTCAATTGGAACAGATCTGAATTGTAATTTAGATAATTAGAATATTTAAAATGTGTGTTCTTATATGAATTTCTGCATAATTTAGCTTAATCACTTATTATAAGGTACCCTGCAAGAAATTTGTGATCTTAATATCTTATAGATGCTAATCTACTTTATCATACACCTTGTTAGCCATATGAGACCCCTGTGTTAGTGTGTATTTGTGCAAAAAGGTTCTTCAGAGATAGTGCTCAGGTTCATTCTTAAGGTTAGTTATATAAAAAATCTTTGGAAGTTGGAACTGAGTGGGAATTTGGGGAAGTTCATGATACATCAATCCAAAATGGAAGGCCATGCGAAAGGGCCAGATTTACTTGTGTATCCAGATCAAACCCTGAATAATCTTATAACTGTTAGTAAACGGGTTAAAAGCAATAGAGGGTGGGTTAAGGGTCTCTAGACTACAGAAATTATCTGGGTATGAGAGGTCATTTAGGTATAGGGTAAAGCTGATATGATACATGTTTCTAAAGATACTGTTAAAGCTGTTGCTGACTCTTTGAGGATTTCTACTTTTCTAAAAATTTCCGAGGTTGGTTTGTGTTTTTTTCCTTTGGTGTTAAGATATATTGATGTTATAATTATCTTTTTAATATGCATCATTTGGATAAGTTGACAAAATTATATTGATTAGAGTTTTAAATGGTTCATATTGTAACCAGTTATATTATGATAATTGATTTTTTTTTTCCCAGTTTTGATATTGATATTTTTATCTGTACTTTTTTGCTTTTGTTATAGAATGGGACTTCTGAATAGATGGTGAAGATAGTAGAAACACTCAATGCAGGTAAAGGTCATGTAAAAGGTTGGGAGTCTACTTTATGAAGACTTGGGGGAAAGAAATTTGATATAGTTCATGAAGCAGCTCAAATCAAAGTAATACACATTATTCAAAGGAGTATCAGAGAACTTAAACTACTTGATTTAATTGCATATAGTGCATGTAAGATGTAAGCATTAAATATCTTGCAGGACTCTGCTAAAACTATTGATCATGTCTCACAAGGTAGCTTCTTGGACATGTTCCAAATGAAGCATGCTTTTGGACTTACAATAAGTCTTGTGTTCATGGAACGAGCATCATGTGGTAGAACAAATGGTATTTTGTTTTATGCAGCTACAACTTTATAAATGTGGAAGACGAGCAATTTTACTGGTGAGTATCCTATGTGATGTAACATATATCCTATGCTTTTATACTACGTATATGATTTTCTGTATTATTTGGCGATTCAAGGTTATTTGTCGCAAAATCTGGATGTCCTTTGTGTCCTATGTTTTTGTGCAAATATGAGAATTTACTCAACTTTTGAATTATTTTCCATAATTCTTCATGAATTTTACAAAGTAAAAATAGCTATGATGGAAGAATTGAAACAAGAACGTTTACATAGTTACAGTATGCATGAAGAAGGCTTCAACAATAATTTAAGATGTTCATGGTGAGTTTGAAGATATCTTATGCGAAATACTTCAATATCCATTTACGTTAATGGCACTACCACTTTTATCTTTTATGCTTTTGCTACTTTTGTTTCTATTGTTGAGGAATTGTGGATTGGGATGGGATGTTTCTTATGGACTATACAAATGTGATGTCATCTTGCTGTAGTATTATAGTTGAACATGTACCAATTTCTTACTCAAATTTCCCTTGTTTCTTGCAAGTATATGACAATGAAACTAATGTTTTTTCAGGCTGAATACATGCAATATTCAAACTTCAATATGCATTATGAGTCTGACTATGCAGAAACCTCTTGATCTCCAACTTTCAGCCGGTGAATTTAGTGGCCAATGTGTTGAAGTTATAAAGAAGATTATAAATGGTAGAAATAACAATAATTGTAAATTTGATGTTCTTGGTGGAATTATATTATTAATTTTTACAAATTTTCACACTACATATTTGGCTTGTGCTAAAATTATTGTTTAGCTTAGGATTAATTAATTCTAGCATTTACTCTCTCTAGACCACTACCATGTACTTAGGTTGTTACAATCAATCTGATCAAATTTAAAATGGCTAGAGAGTTGGGTGAATGAGGCTCACTATAGATGTACAACGTTTGAGTTTTCACATTTGTCAATGAACATTTTACATCATTTACTTTAGTAAAAATTTATAAAAACTTAATATGTTAAAAGTGGACATTGTGACAAATTTAAATATACGGAGTAATGGTTACTCAAGGAGAAAATGTCCATAAATATATGATGAACATAAAAAAAAACGATAAAAACAACCATCCGTGCGCAACGCGCGTGGGTCCACAACTAGTGTCATAAAACAATGCTTTCTCCTCACGTGCTTTGTCCTAGTCAAATTTAAGCTTTTAATTAATTTTTTTCATTGGGTTAAGTAATTTTTGTTAATATAAAGAGGTCCAAAAACAAGTGACTCTATGAGGCCGCAGCCCAAATAGGAACACTAATAAGCTATGCATGTCTAGCTAAGCTTAGAGATATCCCATGTCTAGCTAAGCTTAGAGATATCCTCTCCTCTCCTACTAGGGTTTCTCCAAAATCTTGACCGTTTAGGCCGAAATTAGTCTATGTGTGTGAGAGATGTACCACAGTGCAAGATCTTTTCAACGATCGTAGCTCTGATGAAAAACTCTAATTTGATTCAATTTTATGTATTTGTTAATTTAGATTTCATTTGTAGATGTCGGATGGCTTTTTATTAATGAATTGATTTGTTTAAAAAAAAAAAAAGCAAAGCTAAGCTAAGCTTAGAGATACTTGTATTGCCTAAGTTAACATTAAACCACTCCTTGTTTAGCATAACAACTTAACAAGCACAAAGGGATGAGAAATTGTTTCTATTAGAAGTGACTTATAACCAACTTCGACCATCATTGCCTCATTGGTTATTAATCTTACTATACACGTATAAATAAAGATATAGTCACATAAAATATTGTTAGATTTGTCTTAATGTATAGTTTTGAGACATTAATAATTATTTAACAATTTTATATATTGATTTAAAGATATGAAGAGTCAAATTTGTGTATTGACACTGAACAATCAAACAAAAATAAAAATAAAAAAATCAAAATTTAAATAAATTAAATCGGGTGAATATCTAGTTATTAATTAGGTCATGTTCACTTCACATTATTTTTATTGAACTTAAATTTTTCATTAATTCGTTATGGAATTGAAATTAATTTTTCTAAACTGAAATTATTTTTACCGATTTTCTATTATATTTCTTCTTTAAGGTTACTAAAATCACTTTTATTGAATTGAAATTATGTTCAGTGAATATTTTTTTTTAGGGTGAAATAAGCATGGCCTTAGTTATGCTGATATCACTCTATTAATTATTTATTTATGAAAAATATTAAATTAAATTAAAATTAAAATGAAAAAGTCTCCATTTTTTTGCCTCACACTTCTTTGAAAGCAACGTTAAAGTTTTGGTTAGTTATTATTATCATTTTACCGTTACTTGTGTTATTTATGTTTTTTAGTTACTAGACATGTATGTGGTAGTGACGTAGTGTCTTACAAAGATACGATCCATCTTTATAGTGGTTTTAAGCTAAACAATTAAATTTAAATTAACAAGTTAAGAGATACCCGCTACGCGTGTACAATATAAGAAATTAGATGAAAAAAAAAAAAAAAAGTGGTTTTATATTTTATGGGGAGTGAGAACAATTGAATATGTAAATTTATGTGGAAAAAAGGGAGCGGTTATTATTGGGTAGTTATGATAGGGTTTTTTTTTTTTTTTTTTTTTTTTTTTTGATAATTTTGCAATTTGAGAATGGTAATTTGGGGATAGTGAAATTTATCACCTAAAAGGCCCTTTCACTTTATATATAAGATATGTACAGAAAATTTCTTCTATAATTCTTTATTATTATTATTATTATTATTATTATTATTATTTATTATTGGCAGGAAAAATACATTGTGTTCATATGTAGACAACATGATAGGAAGAAATATTTTTTTTGAGGGATGATATGAAGAAATATAGTTTCCTAACTTTTGTAAACACTCTGTTTTTAGACAATATAATAATCAAGTACTCCATAACTGTTAAATATGACAGGGAGTAAAATTTACCTATAAATACATTTTTATGTGAAAATCTTTCCATAGAAAGAAAATGAATATTGAAGATAATTTTATTAATGTCCAAAAATTATTGACTTATTTCCATAAATGATTGTGTAATATTAAGGTAAATATATGTTCATTGCCACGGAGGAGAAAATATTGCTAGTATATATATTGACAAGTTGCCTAATTTAATATTGCATGATCGATATTCCCAAAAACACTTGCGTGGACCTGATCCACAATAATATTATTGTGGACCCGATATTTTTACACACGCAACTGACGTTATATTGAACATAGGGACCCTTATTTTTAACATAGTAACCTTTATTAAAACTTGTACAACATTTAATATTATTGTGAACTTGAATACAACGTTATAACCCTGATTTTAACATAATGACTTTTATTTTTCATATTGACCAGTATATAATATATTTCATTAAAAAAATTAATCTCTTATAGCTTATATATTACCAAAATAACTTTTATTTCAACATAGTGACCTTATTTTAATTATAGTGACTTTTTTTTTATTAATAAAACAATCATAGTTTCTCTAATATTAGTGGTCCACAATAAATTAGTGTGAACCAGGTTCATTTAAGAATTTGTACGATACTCCTCTTATACTCTCGTTATTACCATAATAAAATTTACAAATAGTATGCATATAAATGCATGCATCAAATGAATTTCGAACAACCAACACAACTAACTAGAGTTTGTTATTTCTTTGTTATTTCTCTTAAAATATTCAATACATACATTCATCAATAAACCTGTTTGTTTTATAATGGCTGCTACTGCGATGCTATTGATTGTTATGGTATACTTACTCCTTAATGTACACCAAACAGGTACATAATCTAATTTTAATTACAAGTATTAAGTTTGACTAGTTTTAGTCTAGTTGATTGGTCTGATTTTATTTTTTTCGAATTGTTTTGATCTGACTTGGTTTAATTTGGTTTGCTCTAATATGATGTTCAATTATGATTAAAATTTGAAGTTATTTTTACAATAATGAATCAAGTGATATTCAATTTATGATTTGTAATTTTTGAAGATTTTATGAATACACAAGCTAATAAAAATTCTAATTTATGCTTTAATATGATTGAAATAAGTTAAAACGAACACATTTCGGATCATTTTATTTAAATAGCTAGTCTTTTCTTTTCTTGCTCTCCCTTATATTTTACATATAGGATAACATAATTTAAACCTTTATATTATGCATGATTATATTATATGCAGTGGAACAAGTTGGCGTATGCTACGGTAATGTTGCAGACAACTTGCCGTCCGAGCAAGATGTTATAAACCTTTATAAATCCAATGCAATAGGAACTATGAGGCTATTTAATCCCAATATAGCAGCTCTCTAAGCCCTACAAAGCCCTACAAGGCTCTGGCATCAAAACCATTGTCGGTATTACTAACGGAGACCTTCTATCTATAGCATCCGACCCAGTAGCTGCCACCCAGTGGGTGCAAACCAATGTCGTCCCTTTTGCAAGTGTGATCAAGTACATTGCATTCGGTAATGAAATCCATCCTGATTATCAGAAAGCCCCGGCAGTGTTACCAGCAATGCAGAACATTCTCAATGCACTCGTTGCAAACAACTTGGGTGGACAGATCTTGGTTTCAACGGCCATTGATACGAGCTTACTGACAAATACTTATCCACCATCTGCCACTGAATTCAGTAATACAGGATACATTACCCCAATAGTCAACTTTTTAACTAGCAATGGTTCGCCTCTGTTGGTTAATGTTTACCCTTACTTCGCTCGTATTAGTGACAAGCAATATATAAGGCTTGACTATGCATTATTTACTGCACCTGGTCCTTTGTTTTCTGACAGTGGAAGGGACTATCAGAACTTATTCGACGCGATTGTGGATGGCGTGTACGCGGCTCTAGGGAAGGCAGGTGCACCTAATACAGGGATTGTGGTGTCAGAAACAGGATGGCCGTCTGAAGGTGGAGACGATGATGCCACGGTTGAAAATGCAGGGACTTATTATCGGAACATGATCGGTCATGTGAAGCAAGGGACTCCACTGAAACCAGGGCAAGGAATTGAGACATATTTGTTTGCAATGTTTGATGAAGATAACAAACCAGGAGCTCCAAGTGAGCAGCATTTTGGACTCTTTACTCCTGATCAACAACCTAAGTATGGTCCACTTAATTTCAATCCATAGAATAAATTTTATCAAAAAAAGAATTCTAGTGATATATATTCTGATGGCAATTGTATTATTCATATAATTTAGGAGAAGTATTTAATTAAATAAGAGTAACTTCCTTTTGTTATGAATGCATGTTTGATATGCATGATAAGAAATAAAATTGTTATATTTTGGGCTTTAACACTCCGTATATGTTTTGGTAAGGGTGTATATTGATTGGAAATGAATTCAATTTAACCACATTACTATTATTATCAAACCTTTAACGGAAAGGTTTGGATAACAATTACCATTATCTATGAGTAACAGTTAATTTTCACTTATTTGTTACCTCTATAAAACTTAATTTGTTATTATGTTCAAGTGATTTCTTTTAATGATTTAACCAAACAAATAAAAAGGTAAGAGTTAATTGATTCTTCTCTACTTTTTTTTTTAATTTTATTATTTTTGTTATTTTCTATGTTTTTATTTTTTACCGGACTTCTCTCCCCTCTTATATGTCTCCTTTCCATTCCGTTTTCAATATTTTACTAGTAAAATATGATGCTCGATAATTAGTATTTGTATGACATTTGATAGAGAATATCCATAGAATATTCTTATCTTAGGTTTAGGATATATTTTGTATAAGATTATCTTTGATATCTTTACATATTTTATGTTACCTAATATGATTAGGTTTCTCATTGTAACTCTATAAATATTGATCAATGGAAATCACTCTAATCAAGGAGTTTATATTATCTGACATGGTATCACAGCTTAGGTTA